AACTGACTGCTTACTGCAGGCTCGCTCTCGGTTCTTCTCCATGCTCTCTACTCGACTCTTCTCGGACTGACTGGTAATAGCAGCTGATCCTCCTTATATAAGCTCGGCACGTACCGCTCAGAAAACACCGCTTCCAACATCTCTCCTATTGTTGCGTGCGTGTCCGTTGCGACCTTCAGGTGACGGCAACAGAGCCATTGTCTAGCAACGGTCGTGTTTAGAGAGCCGTTCCCTAGCTACGGATCTTTCTGCTGGCTTCACAGTTCTTGCTTTCAGCAGCTATGTCACAGTATTTTAAAAAGTCCATTAAGACATTTCGAAGTTTTCAATGAAATTCCAAAAGCAAGTTTTAATATATTTCAGAAGATTCCATTCAAAAGCTTCCCGAACATTTTAAAATATTTATTCCAAAACTATCAAAATGATTCAAAAGATTTTGTTCAGTAGTTCTTTGTTTATATAACACTTTGCTTTATTCTGTTCCGAAGTTTAAAATAATTCATACAAGTTATTTTCTTCTATTGGTTTCCATAGTAGAGTTCAACATATCTTTTACATACTTCAGTGATTTCAAGGAATTTGCAATGCGTCATGACGCCATGTTCTAATCTACCTGCGACCTCAGTCTTGATGCATTCATTCATCCACAACTCACTGCATTTTCCAATCAGATATTCTTAGATATCCTTTTGCTTTTCCTTTTTTTTTTTCTGTGGCGCTACAGCCGCAATTTGGGCCTAGGCCTACCTCCATGAACTTCTCCGTTCACTTCGGTGTTTCTAGATCTTACACATTCGGTAGGACTCCTTGGGCGAGTGATCAGCTCGTCGCAAGGCCTCTACCTGTAGACAAACACAGAAAAACGCACACAAACATCCATGAACTGAGTGGGATTCGAACCCACGATCTCGGCTTCCGAGCGAGCGAAGACAGTGCATGCCTTAGACCGCTCGGCTACCGTGACCGGCTAGATATCCTTTACTAATATAAATCCAAACCCATTGCCTACCCTCGCAACCTTTTCGAAATGGTTTTATTTCTGGTTTAGCAATTGGAGACCTCAGCTGAACGCTTATATATTCTTCTTCTTATCTGGCGTTACAACCCTCTGTGAGCCTTGATCTGCTTGATAACAGCTTTCCAACTATCTCTGTCTTGTACCATTATCCACCAAGCTGTCACGTTCTGAATTTTTATATCTTGCAGTACATCATCCAGCCATATTAATTTTGGTCTTCCTTTCTTTTTGCAGCCTCATAGCTGGAAGAAGGTTAATTTTCTGCAGAGGAAACTTTCATCCATCCTTCTGGTATGCCCTAGGCACTTAACTTGTCTATTTTTATTGATTAAATTATATTTGGTTCTTTGAATAATTTATATAATTCATTATATTGTCATATGTAGGGGGGTACGCGTGACGAAAATAACGGGTTCTAGATGCGTGATTGGATTTATTGGCGCTTCTGTTACAAATTCTTATAATCACACTCACTTATAACACTATCGCTATTCTGTACACTTTCGGTTCACCGTTGCAAACGCACTAGAATTCTCCGTCTGCACTAGTCGTTTCCTGACAACGGATCCCAACGCAGAAACTAGCACTTCAAATCAGTATGAAGTCTTCTTGGCATTTCTTGTTCAGTCACCCTGGAACCCCGGAATCCTACCAAAACTGCGTCTACTACTCACTCCTCCAGCTCACTGTTCGGCTTCGGATTCTGCTTACTTATGTAGCCTCAGAACGGACACGCCTCACAGAAAACACACGTCACGTGATTGCTACCCAGCCAGTCCACTGGTGCGCTGGCTGGACCTACAGAAAACGCATGTCACGTGGTCTGCATCCAGCCAGTACATTGGCATGGTGGCTGGGCCAACAGAAACATCACGTGACCGCTACCCAATCTTGTGTGACGCCACCGCGGACACAAGGAAAACACTGCTTCAACATTGTTGGTCGTGTGTGTGTGTTGCGGGCGCTGCCTAACAATGGATTTACATGTCACAATATTTTATTCTCCAAATATTTAGGCCATAGATCTTCCTTAGAATTTTTCTTTCAAGAACTTTAAGTTTATCTTCATTTACTTTAATGAGTGCCCAGCTCTCACTAACGTAAAGTACAACAGATTCTATATGGGTTTTATATACTTTACATTTAGTATATTTTCTTAAAAGTTTTGATCTCAGTAAATTCTGCATCCCATAATAGCGTTTATTCCACATGTTTATTCTGTGATTAATTTCCACATTAACATTTTTATCACAGGTGACTGTGGATCCAAGATACTGGAATTCATTTACTTTTCTATACTCCTTTGTATATTATAATAGAACGATTATATGTATACGAAAACAATTGACCACTTATATAAAGAAATGTGCATTATCGGTGTCTTATTATTTTCATATGATAATTTCAATTATATTATGAATAAATTTGTTCCGTTTAATTATTGCAGAATATACCTTAAACATGGAATCCGTTCCTGCTTGGTTAACGATCGGAGACTCAAACATCGGGAGTGTAAGTAGAACGCACATATGTAGCGAAGCAAAGAGTGCAAACGTCGATCAACCTCCGCGATGCGTGTCTATCAGACGGGGACTTAATCCAAAAAGAAGTTTGAGCGCAAAAATGGGCCAAACTCTTATTTGCTCTCATGAGGTTGTTCCACATTTGCGCTCACAGCTTCCTTTATTATGATTAAATACTTATATATATTCCATTTTCATTTTTATTCCCGGCGAAATGAAGAAAAACACATTTACGTGTTTATTCCAAAATAAGGTACAGTTACCCAATTTTATGACGTACACAATTCGATTGTAACACACTCTGAATATGTCATGAAATTAAAAGTGTGATTTCTGTGATTTGTAATATAAGTCATTCACGGAAAAATGTAAAAAATTAACTCTGGACAGATGCTTAAATTTGTGGCTGCATTATTGAAACATCTGTAGAGAATCGATAAATCTGTGGGCATACTTCTAATTTCCTGGCTCCATCATGGAGCCATGTATGGAGAATTGCTGTGTACACATATCTACATGGCTGTATTACAGCACGATGTACAGAACTCCGAAAACTAACAGCGAAACGCAGACCTAATTTCGCAAACAAACTGTCTTCTCTTGAAATAGGATAACTATATGACGAAATGTACCATTTTCCACTACGCAATTCGTCTCTATAAGACATGCAATAATCTTCGTTGTTAATTTCTGTGATGCAATGAGTTTCTAATATTCAACTTCACTTACTGATTGAACTCAATTTACGACTGACTGAATTATCATACGAGAATATATATACTTTTTTCACACAATTAATTTTCTTACTATCAGTTGATTCACCTTAGTATGAAAGATGAACCAAAATGAGTTCTAAAGGGTTCTGAAGATGGTGCATAACACTCAGAATAACTGGAGTTTTGAAATTTTTCTATCGTCCGGTATTCTAAAAACCAGAGAACATAAAGTTTCGGAAACTGTCTGCGTTTCCGTCATCAGGTAAAGGAGAGACACCTACTCTGTTGGGTCCCTTATAAAGATCCAGTGATTGAGGTTAACTCTTTATCACCTGAAGACGGAAAAAATCCAGTTTCCGAAACGTGTTCTATAGTTTTTATAATACCGAACGATGTCAAAATCTAAAAAAACAAAACAATAATTTTGAGCAAAATGAATTTATATACAAAACTCAATGAGTGTATTGTGAATACAGTATATTTGAATTTCCACCTGATAGTGACCAAATATGGTCGAAACATACAGTAGAAACAATATTATGAAATATGTATTCGGAACCAACACTTCGTTGGTTAGAGGACAGCAAAATATTTATGCTGACGGTTTTTTTAATAATCATAAATTGATACAGATCGCGACAAATATTTAACGCGGTTAGTCAGTTCATCCACACAGCACACTTGATAAGTAACATACACACCAAAACCGACAATACCCTTGGCGTCGAGGAGGATTTGGATTGACTTCAATTAAAAGCATTATGAATATATATTATCATAATTATCAGCTATTTGTTTGTTTACTTTTACTTTTATTCATTATTATTTCTTCCAAGTACTTACCTGTAATTTGTATTTGACTTTTAATAAGTTTGTCTATAATGTAATTCATTCATCTGCACTGTGCTGTGTCTGTAATTGGCCTTGCGGCTGTTGACTCGGCACATTAATAATAAAGAATTGAATTGAATATGAAACACCGATATCACTAACGCGAAATGCAGTGACGAATATTAAAAGAATTTCATTTTATATCCTGATATTGTTTCATGGTGGTCGATATACAACTGAAAATAAATTCTAACCCTTTACATATTATGTATGAGAATATCGCTTTAAAATTCTCCATTCTGCAACGGGTACGGTACTTGAGAAAACTGTTGAACAAATGTAGTAGAGTGGATGAACCTCTCTGAGGTCACTGGACCTTTTAATTGACCTAATCCTTCCAGCCGCACTATGGCCCTGGGGTCGATTCAACTTCTAACAGAAATGAGTACCAGGAATTAATTAAATAATTTTCCTGGGGGTAAAGGGCGGCCGGCGCGTAAGGCTGCCAACCTTACCGTCATCTGTGAGCCGACTGTCCATACAATGTGGGAGCCTCGACGTCTCACAATCCTATGGGCCTTCACGGCCTGGTACAGGGGTAGCTTTACTTTACTCTCTTTACAATATGGAATAGAAACACAAAGAAAGATTTCGGAAACAAGAATAAATTTATAAAACTTTAACCTAAGTTTATATCTCAATGTCACATCAGTTTATTTTCTTTATAAATTTTAGGTTTCCACAGCGGTGAAAATTCATATGTAGTATTTTGTATTACGATGCTGCGTAGTCTACTCTCCTTAAGATGGAGGCGGTATATCCCTCCGAAACACCAGTAATCACATTCCAGTACACGGGGTGTATGGCCTTACAAGCTGAACAGCAAGTAAAAAGGCGCGTGTTTGATTCCAGATGTGGCAGGATATTGAGAGCGTGTTGCTGGGTGAGGGGCAGAGCTACTGTAATCCCGGGGCACCTCCACCACCGGCGCCATCAGCACCACCGGCACCACCGCCCGCGCCAACAGAATATCTGGACTACAGCTACCATCCTCACTTCAACTCCCACCACCCCATAAAGAGTGAACCACAGGGAGTGCCGGAGGACAATCCAGCTCAGTCGGGTTGCAGTGGATATGGAATGTCTTCATCCTACCTGGGACTGTTGGACGCTAAGCAGGCGATGTACCAGGGAGGCAGCTATACCAGCTACCAGACGCAACCCCCCCACTCTGATGCATACAACGGTACCATGACTATAGTGTCGCCCCCCGCCAGCCCGGACACCCCCCTACCGGTCCTCAGACATAATCAGTTCCCGCCACCAGCAACCCCGAGCCCGAACCACCATCATCACCACCATCCCCCCGAAATGATGCATCACCAGTACCCCATGTCGCAACGTCTTGCCCATCACCACTACTCCAACATCAGAGTGATGACGCCACCCTCATCGCCACACCTTGCCAACCTCCGGCACCATCCACACCACCTTCATACATCCCCCCATGCGCCTCCATCCTCCTTCATGCCGGGGGAGCAACAGGCCCCGCCACTTACAAAGGCAAAGCGGGGGCGCAGACGGTGGGGACGCAAGAAAGTGACCACGCATTCGTGCACATACGCGGGCTGCGTGAAGACCTACACCAAATCGTCGCACCTGAAGGCCCATCTACGCACGCACACGGGCGAGAAACCGTACCAGTGCAGCTGGAAGGGCTGCGGCTGGAAGTTCGCCCGCTCGGACGAGCTGACTCGCCACTACCGTAAGCATACCGGCGACCGGCCGTTCCAGTGCCGGCTCTGCGAGAGGGCGTTCTCGCGTTCCGACCACTTAGCGCTCCATATGAAGCGCCATATCGCCGTATGAACTGTGATAAACTCTCATCGAAATATAGATGGAATTTCATAATTGTATATAATACTGTTATGTGTCGGATGACATATAAAAATTACTATAAATTCAGTAAACAGTGTGATCTTTCTATACTTCCTCCCATATATTTCATCTCACATCCCTTGTATCATCACATTTAGTGCTTCAAAATGTGCATTCTACATACTGTGATATAACTGAACTGCCAATATAGATCCAAGATAACTGAGGAAACCTTCGTTTTTACTGATTCCCTGTCTTCAATCTTACATTATACTTTCTATTCATCTGTTGCCTATTTAACGACGCTACCAACAGGTCAGACGATGCCCAGTCAGGTGATCTTACTGAACAATGAACTAGAACGGCCCACATTAATCTAATTTGTGACAAATCTCTGGGTTGTCCCTAAGAGACTGAGAGAACACACGAAAGACCGCAGTGAGGATGATCTGTTTATACACCTAAATTTGAATCAGGGGGCCTCCCGAACACGAGACAGGAATGATATACATTCAATCATTAAGCTGGGTCATTAATCGATACATCGATTCCCAGTCAGGCTCAGGAAGAGTTTCGTACGTCTGATACAGACGCATACAACGCAGGATGGAATTCTCTTACGAAGGACAACATTTAGCTCAGGACACAGAAACATGTATTTTAAGCAGGATCTGCTACATTACAGATGCATATGGGTTCAGAACTTGGAGTGGTCATGTGACGTTCTCTGACAGACAAAAGGAAGATGGAAAACTTCATCCAGCTAGAGGGAGTAGGAATGTATGTTAAATGAAGTTAATAATTTGGTTTCCAAGATGTCAAAATGTGCCCCAAACTATCAGATGTACAGGGAAATATAATTACGGCATTCTGTGACACAATAGCATGCAATCTGATAGGTAGGCAACCAACCTTTAGCGATCTCTCGCAAGGCAGGAAATGAAAGATGCTTCTAAACCGAACATTGAGGAAGCATGTCATTTGACGCTATACACATGGATACACTAACAGAATCATTAAATAAATTACATTTTCATTGAATTTCAGTCAGCGGCTTCATAATTGAAACATAAAAACACCGGCAGATAATACAGACAAACAGTTACACATTTCATGCATTCACTCTACAATTTAACTTGTCTCACAATTAAAGTGGTAAGAATTTATGCCATGAAGAAATGCACTCTAAAGTACGTAAGTGTACATAATGTGGAAACACAACGAGGACACGTGTATCGATATTCATATTAAAAAAGAATGAAGAGAGGATTGCTTATTGACTGGTGGGTCGAAACAGCCTCTCGTCCTAATTCAATAAAAAGTGTTCCAAACCTCTGAATCTAATGCCACAAATCTATCTATCTATCTATCTATCTATCTATCTATCTATCTATCTATATATATATACGGATGGACGGACAGACAGGCAGATAGATAGACAGATAAGTAGATAGACAGACAGACAAGCATATATAGAGATAAATAGACAGATATATATATTTATCTCTATATATGCCTGTCTGTCTGTCTATCTATTTATCTATCTATTTATCTGTCTGTCTGTCCGTCCATACGTTAATCCGTCCTTCCGTCCATCTGTCTATGGCTCTACAGCCCTTCATTGGACCTTGGCCGCTTTTTTTTTCAGTTTCTTCGTTTTTACACAGTCTGTAGAACTTCTTGGACGAGGAATGAAGCCATCACAAGGCCGCTAACTAACACCTAACAACACAAACAGAATAAACGCACACAGATATACATGCCTAGAGTGGGATTCGAACCCATGATCCCAGTGTTTGAGCGGGTCAAGACTGTTCATACCTTAGACAGGACGGCCATTTTGATTGGCAATGGCCACAAATGGCTACATAACATGTAATTGTGAATTGCTCCTTAATTTATACAGTGATTGTTATCCGTTACTCTGTCGTAAGGGTCTCGTTTCTGAACCGAAATTGATCCTACAATGACGCGTTCTGCTACGTTGCCTTTTGCGATGCAAGGCGGAAGAAACTATGGGCCTTAAAGGCGGAAAATGGACCGAAATCAAAGACCAAGTTCTTGTTTGTTTTCTTTTTGTAAAGATTCTGGGTTTTCGTGAGAAATATCTTTTGTTGCTTTCTTTTAATGAGCGTAAAATTAATTAATTACAGCAAAATATTAATATGTGCATTTTAATTGTCTTTCAACTTTGTGCTCAATTTAATATTGAGTCTCTACTCATGAAATTGAAAGGCCAAAATAAATTAGAGTGTATATTAATCTTCTGCTATGTTCAAAAGAGCACCTCTGAATGTTGAAACGTACGTGCAGGGTAACAGTTCTGCGATCTTCACTCATGTTGTTTTATTTGTTTCGAAAATCTTACAAATTATTAGACGCGTACTGGACATAGAACATGTTTCTAACTTTCCTTTAAACCATGGTCTAAAGCCTGTTTCGCTCCGAAAAATATTTCCTACTTACTGTCAGGATGCCCGAGACAAAACATACAATTTATGGTGTAAAGTTAAGGGTAAAAATGAAGTTGTCCCTGTGCTTAACTAATAAAGGCGTGTAGGGGAGTGGACGTATAGATCCACATTTTCTTGACCTCGGCACTAGCTGAGGTAAGTGGCCAGCTTCACGCTCCAGTCGCTTTACCTCCGGGGGAAAGCCCACAGCATCCATTGGGTAGAAGACAGGGTGGACTCCAGAGCCGGTCTGGACGACGTGAAACAGAGAAATTTCTTGAAACTACTGTGACTCGAACTCCGACCCCTCGGTCGTCCAGTTTTAGCCAGTCGCTATCTCGACTACGTTATCACGGCTCCTAGGAAAGTGAAACTGCAAAACTCTTCGATATCAAATGCAACCAAAATATGGGACAGATGGAGAGACAGACTGAGTGGTACAGGTGTTTTCGTAGTCACTCTCCAGTGGTAGCAGCGCGCATATATATGTACACACAAACATTGCTGCCTAGGAATTGTTAGCCGTTGACCAGTGATGGACGTATTATCGTCCGGCCTTCCTGGCGGCACGTCACAGTATTTTGAAGAAATGTTACATGGAACAACAAAACACTCAATTTATAACCAATATAATTTTTCATTAAATGATATATTTCTAGATATAATTACACAAGAAGTAATTGGAAAAAACTAATCCTCTACTATTCTTCTATAAGACAGGGGCCTCATAGAAAATGATGAGCCGAAAAAAGAAATTTTTCTGTTGTGTCTGTATTCGTTGCCGCGCCAACGTTTTCACCAAACTTTTGCCTAGCAACGAAGGGAATACACCTACAGAAGCACAGACAGATGGGCGGTATTCATGCAGTTGAGATGGGCTCAAGTGCCATGGCATACATACCAAGTTTCGTAAAGATTGACTCAGACTTTCAAAAGTTGATAGGGGAGGTTCACAAAGGCACAGATAACATTGTGATTTCATAACCCTAATTTTATTTTATTTTTCCTTCGAAGTAAGGAAAGTAGGCTAAAATGAGTGAGTGTGTTTAGATGCATTCAAAACGCCGATAATTTTGTGAGCGATTTGTCTGCCACTCGCGACAACCCGTGTTTCAGTTGATCATCTACTCAGCCTTGCTCTTTGTGTGGGAGACTGGAAACCTTGAGCGCCGGCATACAAACCGTTCCTGAATTGATTATTTTCTTTTGAAATTATTCTCCTTTTCTCTCGCTTTATATCTTTTCCCTTATCCTTCAACATTTTCTTCCATCCGTTCCTGTGAATGAAATTAAAATTTTACATCTTGAAGTCGATTTATTAATGTACAGTTACATATGCGGACAGGCTGTGGGCGGAAATCCCCTTTCGTGCGTGGGTTCAAGGCTACTCCCTGCGCAGACGTTAAGAAGCGCGCTCGTAGAGGGATAAATCTGTACATACACAAACAATGACTAAACCCATTCAGAAAACACACCCAAATGTAGAGTTGCCGTTTAATGGAACGTCTATTTGTTCCTCTTGTCCCATGCTTGACCAGTACTATCGCAAACCCGGAAGCAGCCCACAAATTATACTCTTACGTGTATTAGTGACTGTAGACGGGGTTCAGATTGGCTAATAAATTTATTGAACACTCACGTGTTGTAACTACAAATGATTATAAAAGTCTCACTTGATTACACGCTCTAAAGATTACTGTAACTGCAGCACACAAAATAAAATGTTCAGTGTCTTCCTTCGCTGGGAGATGTTTGGTAGCGGATCTTGTGTGGTGAACGCTTCACAACTGAACACTGAAATACTGAGCTGCCTTGTTAATTCCCTTACAAGTCGAGTCGAGTCTTATGTTACGACCGACTCTCAGTCGGTCAGTCTGTCTAGGAATAAAGCACCCATTTGGGGCTAACGACAAGATTTTTATTACTGTCAAACACTTGCGGGTTTGTTGATGTGGTGCGCTCTCTCTGATGAGAAGACGGGTCTCTCGTTTACAATTGCTGCTGATCCTCGCCAGCGCAGTCATTCTCGGGTCCGAATCCCATGGGTCTCACGACCATATTTTACTGTCTCAGAATCGAGACTTCCCTTTTCGTCGCCTCCTACGACTCGCAGGGCTACGGTGGAGGTATTCGAACCCGCTTCCACACGGGAAAGTATTCCCTTACGAATTAATTACAACTCCTTTATAACTTCCAGACCACCCGAATATAGATCACCACCCTGAAAATTTGGTGTTACTCTGTTTTTCCCGTTGCTATGGAAACGTGCTTACCGAACTGTTGCCTAGCAAATGAATTATTCCTTGTCTATTCTTTGCCTCTGGAACGTGCTTACCGAACCGTTGCCTAGCAAATGGATTATTCCTCGTCTACTCTTTGTCTCGGGAACGTGCTTACCGGATAATTGTCTAGCAACGGACTTCCACTCTGGCTCCACTATTCCGGCTTTCAGGCTTCATGTCACAATACCATTCCTGGTATTAAAAATTCTACAAAAATTCTATAAATTTCTTTTATATATCCACTTCATTCCATGAAAAACCTGAAGCGGAGTTGCTTACAAACTGCAAAACACCAACGGAAGGAGGTTCCATGTAAATATGACTTAAAAATTCCAGAATCAGAAATTGAAGAATGGG